ATGGAACATAAGAGGAGCAAATGGCTCCAAAAGGGTTAGACATCTTCAGAGCTTGAATGCCACTGAGAGACCCGACCTAATTTTTCTAAGTGGGACCAGAATGACTAAACAAAAAAGTGAGGATTTGATCAATAGCCTATACTTACAAAACTCAGTGATTTCCGAGGCTCAAGGTCAATATGGAGGCCTCCTATGTGGCTGGTCAAACAGTCTACAAATCAATGTTATATCAGTTAGTAGACACTTGATCCATCTCGTAGTAAAGAATGTTCCACCAGGCCACCCATGGAATCTTCTATTGTTCTATGGCCATCCTCAGAAAAACCATAGGAATCTCCTTTGGAAACAAATACTAATGGATCAAATACAGCACCCTTGGCTCCTTCTAGGTGATCTGAATGATATTTACCAACTTCATGATAAAAAAAAATTCAGAAGTGCTCCTCCAAAACTATCCAAATCCCCGTAAGAACTAATCTCAACTCACCAACTAGTGGACTTGGACTTCTCTGGTCCTCCTTATACATGGACAAATGGTCAAACGGGACACAATAAGGTTCTAGAAAGACTGGATAGAGCCCTAGCATCCATAGACTGGGTAAGATTGTTCCCAAATGCTATTATCTTCCATCTCCCAATCATTTCCTCAAACCATTCTCCAATCAAGCTAAATAGTTCTCATATCCAATCAACCTTTATATCCAGAGTGCTCCTCTGTCAGTGAGGAAGCTTGGTCCCAGCCACTCCAAGGAAGCCAGGGTTACAGGGTGACACAAAAACTCAAAGAATGCAAAAAAAAAAAAACCTGAAACAATGGAACAAAGAGAGTTTTGGAAACATCAGAGATCATCTACAAAAGATAGCTCTCAAAATATCAAATTTTCAAATGTCATACAACTCTGCTGAACACATGGATGAGCTAAATTCTTTGAAGAACCAATATCACTATTGGCTCCAAAAAGAAGAATAAATGTGAAGACTAAAATCTAGAGAGCTATGGCTCAGAGATGGAGATAAAAACGCCAAATTCTTCCATCAATCAACAAAACAGAAAACTTAAAGAATACAAACCTATGGATACAAAAATCAAATGGGACATGGGTGCACGAGAAAAAGAGCATCTCTAAACTTCTTCTGCAATCTGTACTACAAACAGGGGACATACCAGAAAATTTTGATCCCAACTCCTTAAGTCATCTATCACTCCCATGCCTGAAACCACATCAGATAGAATCCTTATTACAAGAGCCACCAATGGAGGAAATTTACAGCATAGTGTAGCAACTACACCCGCACAAAGCTCCAGGCCTCGATGGCTTCACAACTTATTTTTATCAAAAGTACTGGAATATTGTGGGGGAGGATATTTGTGCCTTGATCAAGGATTTCTTTCGATCAGAGCAACTACCCAAAGAATTAAACAACACAAATCTAGTCTTCATACCAAAAATCAATGCTCCATCAAATGTGGCTCATTACAGACCAATCATTTTATGTAATGTCATCTACAAGATCATCTCTAAGTGGATGGTAAATAGGATGTAACTGTTACTACAGGACCTCATATCACCAACTCAAGCGGGTTTCCTCAAAAATAGGCAAATAACAGATAACATACTCTTAATGAAGGAATTCACCCATCTCTTGAAGACAAAAAAAAGGTTATGTAGCAATCAAGCTCGACATGTCAAAGGCTTTTGACATAATGGGTTGGCAGTTTTTGAAAGCAGTTTTGAGAAAAATGAATTTCCCAACAAAATGGTGTAATCTCATACATCAATGCATCTCCACCCCCACCTACTCTATCAAAATTGGAGGGGGAGCCTTTGAACATTTATCTCTGCGTAGAGGACTATGGCAAGGAGATCCACTGTCACCATATCTCTTCATCACTGACATGGGAATTCTCAGCAGGCTTCTGGACCAAGCAAACATGAATGGAGAACTCAAAGGCATAAAACTGAGCAGAAATGGGCCTGAAATTACACATCTGCTATTTGTAGATGATGTAGTTCTCTTCTGCCAAGTAGAATTATCACAAGTTAAAACTCTGGCGGACACCCTCAAACTTTCGAGTTACTATCTTATCATAATATAAATTATGGAAAATCATCCATCATGTTTAACAGTAATGTGGCAAGACACCACCATAAATTCATCTCTGTAATCCTACAAGTCAAAAAACCTATGGTTGGCTCAAAATACTTGGGATTAAAGATTGGTACAAATGATAGAAAAATCTCCTCTCACCAAGAACTGGTAAGACCACTTTAATAAAAACAATGGCACAATCAGTGCCAGTCTACCCTATATTGACCACCATATTGCCAAAAACAATTCGTAACACACTAGAGAAACTCCTTCGGGACTACTGGTGGAGTAACTCGAATACAAAGAGCAAACACTCAATAGCTTGGTCAAAGTTATGCTCACCAAAAGACCAAGGAGGATTAGGACTTAGGAAACTATGTTAGATGAATAAAGCACTCTTTAGTAAACAGGTATGGAGGTTGTTACAATCTCCAAATTCTCTTTGGAGCCAGGCTATCAAGGGCAAATACTTTCCAAATACAAGTCTACTTAGAGCTAGAACTAAGCAAAACAGCTCCTTCTGGTGGAACCAAGTTCAGAAAATTATTCTAGAACTGAAGGAAACATGCTTTGGCTGATCAATAATGGAGTGAAGATAGAGGTCTTCACTGATCCTTCAGTTTCTACTTTAACAAGAAGAACCCCAATGCCAACCAGTAATGGCTCCTTACACCATATGGATCTTAGAGTAGCAGAACTACTAAATAGTGATGGCTCATGGAACAAACAATCTCTTGAAAATAGATTGGAGGCCAGTCATATTCCACATGTCAAGGAAATAAATCCAAATATCTACTTGGAGTCCGATACCCCAATATGGTTGAAAACCTCAAAGGGAACCTTTTTTGTGAGCTCCATGTACAAAAATCTAACAACATCCTTGGCTTCAGCATCCTCAGCTTTTTTCGATTGGAAGTTTCTATGGAAACAAAATCTCCTTTCAAGAGTGAAAATCTTCATGTGGAAGTTCTTATAGGAAGGGCTGTTAACCAAAAGACAAGTGCTCTTCGTGGCTGCAACTAGAAGAACTAACTTGCTCCTTCTGTAAGCAAACCAAAGAAACATTTAAACACCTCTTCTTCACATGTCCTTATGTGCGAGTAGTATGGCTTCAAAATCTCTCGGCCATCAATCCAAACAAAATCAAAGAGAAACCACCCCATGAAATCATTCTGAGTTATTTAAGGGCGATAAAAAGATTTTCAACTCCCTCTATGGTATCCACTATCTTCTGTATAGTCAGCACAACTCTATACCTGATTTGGAAGGCTCGAAACAACCTAGTGTTTAAGAATAAGGGTAATAGCATATAAGGGCAACTTTTGGGGTTTAATATTAATAAAAGTAATATATTTAAAAAAATTCAAAATTAGGTTAACTTTTTAAAAATAATATCAATAAAGGGCAAAAATACTATTCATCATCTTCTTCTTGCCATTTGTTCACCAGAGCCGCCATCCGCCGCTGCCCACCACTGCCGCCCGCCGTCGCCTCTGGCAATGTTGCCGGAGGGGGCCGGAGGCGGCGTTGGTGGTTTCTCTGTCCAACGTTGCCACCTCCGCCTCCACCTCTGGCAACGCTGCTGGAGATGGGTGGAGACGGAGGTGGCGACAGCAGTGGGCAGAGGAATGACCACCAGCGTCGCCGCCACCTTTGCCTCCGACCACCTCTAGCAACGTTGCCGGAGGCAGAGGCGGAGGTGGCGATGGGTGGCAACGGCGGCGGACGGTGAACAAACGGCAAGAAGAAGAAGATGAACAGTGTTTTTCCCTTTATTGATATTATTTTTAAAAAGTTAACCTATTTTTGAAAAATTTTTAAATATAATACTTTTATTGATATTAAACCCCAAAAGTTGCTCTTATATGCTAGAAACCCTTAAGAATATTCTGATGAGCCCCCTTGAACTGCTGAACATCTTGCGAAGCTATCAGCTTGACACCTCCACACAAAACAACAATACATGTATTGCTACTCCCTCTAGCTTGAATCTCATGCAAAATGTGTTACAGGTTGATGGATCTTTTGACCCTTTAATAGGAACTGCAGGAAGAAGTTTTATCTTCAAACGAGCAACAGGTGAAACCATTGCTGAAGGGAGGCCATGCTGGGCGGTTTCAAGCTACGATTCAGAGATAAAAGCTTTAATAGCGGGTCTTGAAACAGCTTCTACCTTAATGACTCCGAGAAGTTAGTACGTTTTTTGAGTAACAAAGAAGTACCCTCTGGATGGATCGAGCAGCTCCATTGGCCAAAGCTGAGAAAGCTTATATCACTTTTTGTTCATATAAATAGAAGTCTAAATAGAGCTGCTCATGCACTGGCTTATTCTGCTTGTAAAGAACAAATGGTCATAAACTACAATCCTAATCAGTCTGCCACAACACAGATATCTGCAATGAAGTAATATGAGTGAAGCTTCTCTTTTTTGTGAAAAAAAAACAGTTCAATTGATTTGTCTAGGTTGTTTATCAAGTCAACACTATTCTACAAGTAAATTCTTCACGGTTAATGAATGGACTAAAAACCTGAATGGGTAGGTAGCATGTCGACTCGTCTCATCAGCAGATTCAACCGTGGGTTGAAAACATTGTTTGTGAAATGATGCACAATAGTTTAATAAAAAATCTGGATATCCATTCACCACAGGAAACTCAAACAGAACTTGGGGCATAGAGTTTTGATGTCATCGGAGGCAACACATGGATGAATAAATCTGTCCACGTGGCAAATTCATGCTCTGTCATTCACAAGAGGCTCAAATTTATTATTCCTTCTTCCTTGTTTTTCAAGGAAAGTTTTATATATTATCTTTGGCTCGCACGTCATTGCTCTGAGGTTGGACCGGATTGAATTTATTCTGTCATTACTGGAAAATGGAAAATAAAGAAAAAAGCAAAGCTTTTTAAAAAACACACACAGAGGCCAGAACATGGACGATGACAGAAGTCGCGAAATCCATAAAACAAAACAAGGAAAGAAGGAATACGGATCCCAAGACGCAACATCGGATCCCCGTCGTTGAACAGGGATCCCAAAAGCTTTACCGGTAAGAAAGAGAGAAAAGAAAAGAAAAAACTAGTTAACGGAGCATCTGTTGCCGGGGTTTCTCTTCCGACGGAAACAACATGAAAAGCAGAGTAAACGCCACAAATCAACTGAACCCATCCGTGGATTCTCTAAATTCTGTTAATCTGAGTGTTCGTTATCTCGCTCCTTCATGATTGGGCTTTTCTTCCGGTACTAATTTTTTGGAGCCTGGAGGAGGGGCCATGGATGACGAAGTTGTTCAGCGAGTGTTTCAGGAAGGAGGCCGAGATTACTTCCAACAGCTCGCTCCCTCATCTTCCTCTTATTCTTCCATCCTACAGTCTCTTCCTCTCCATGTGGTAATTTCCTTTATTATTTTTGGGCACAGATATGGTATGCTTCGGTCTGATCAAACAATTCCCAATGGCATTATTTGGACCTGAAATTTGTTGTATTTCGATTAAATTGTAAGGTTGTATATTCTATTGCACTTTAATTTGCAGTTTCTTTTATGATTCTATGACGGATATTTGATTAGTTAGTTATGGTCAATGAACGAGAACCGATAGCGATGAAATGGGGATGCTTTTTTTTTTTTTTTTTTTAATTTTTATTTTGCATTCGGTCTTATTGATCTCCTCTAACTAATAGAAGCTTTAATTTTTTTTGTCCATTTAATTGCTTCTGCTTTTAGTTGGGTCGTAAAAAACACTTGGTAGAGGGAAAAAAAGCAAGAGAAAGAAAGGTAAAACAATTGACATTTAAAAGCGATTGAAAATTATCCAAACTCAAGAGACCATGTTGTTTTAAACTTGGGCAATACATTGTTTTTATGCTTGTCTTGTGCTTGTTTATTATACATTACTTTCCTATTTGTTTGTGTTTTAGAACTTTTGCGTTTGGGTTTTCTTGTGGCATTGTTAAGAAACTTAATTATGATTGGGTTGGATTTTGCAGTCCTTTGATCATGGGTATTATTTACTAGTTAAAGCTGTTCAAGAACTCCGAGAAAAAAAGGAGGGCCTTGTCACGGTCGGCATTGGTGGTCCAAGTGGTTCTGGTAAAACAAGGTATAGTTATTGTTGTTGTTGCTAATGGGAAATGATTATTGTGAGAGTTTTATGTTCTTTTAAAAATTTTATTGTTTTCACCAATGTAGTTTTTTTTCTGATCAATACTTGTATGTTTATCTATCTCTGAAGCTTAGCAGAGAAGGTAGCATCTGTACTTGGTTGTACTGTCATATCAATGGAGAACTATCACGATGGAGTTGATGATGGGAATGATCTTGATTTGATAGATTTCAGTACTTTAATTCAAAATCTTGAGGTTTGCTTCTGTTCCTTGAAAAAAGGATGGTATAACAGTGCAGGCTTAATACAGGTTTTCATTTTATTTTCACTCAGTTGGATGAATCATTTAGAGATCAGTCAGCCCCATCATTTCAGTTTCAACTGTCTTTGAGACTTCATCTCAATTTTGAGTTACACTTTGCTGAATGTTTTCAGATAGGGTTGATACTTCAGAAAGTTGCCTGAAACTTTCAGGATCCAGTTGTTTACCTTTTGGTTTCTGGCTGGGTTTTCCAAGTCTGGATTGAGTTATAAGGTGGTAACAATCAGTAGGGATGCAAACGGATTGGATTGGATTTGAATCAGGGTATATCCGAATCCGATCCGACACTATTAAGAGCAGATCCAATCTGATCCGAAGATCTGATCGGATCTTACAAACATGGATTTGAGTTTGAATCCGATGATGAAGTTGGATATTCGGATATGATCTGATCTGGTTTATTTCTTTTTAAATTAATAATTATTAAAAGACAAATAAAATGTAACAATTTAAATAAAGAAAAACAAAAAATACAAGTATCTTTTCAACTATTTTTGTCATATATACATTTTTTTAATAAAAAAATAAATAATATAACAAATTTACAAAAATGCAATATAAATAATATATTTTTAAATGAATACATAGCATATATATGTGTTGTGTATGTGAATGATTCAATTAACACTAGTTCAGTCCTAGGTCTGAGATAAGTAAGAAGGAAAGAAGAAGAAGAGAAAGAAGAGGGGAGAAGAAAGGGTTTGGTCTAAGAAGAGGAAAAGTCAATTTCCTCTTGACCCACCTTATATTTATACTCTTTGTATTAGATTACAAAAGACAAATTTGTCCCTCATTAAGTATGGGACACACAACTTAAACCCAGACAAAATAGACAACTCAACTTTAATTAAATAGTCAAATGACCAAACTACCCTTGTACTGTCGATTCTAACACTCCCCTTTAAGTTGGAGAGTATATATCATATAGTCCCAGCTTGTTACATATGTAATCCACTCTTCCTTGACTCAACCCTTTTGTAAACAAATCTGTTGACTAGTTTCCTGAACTCACATGAGTTGTATTTATCACTCCACTGATCACCTTTTCTCTTACAAAGTGGCAATCAACTTCATTATGCTTTGTTCTCTCGTGAAAGACTAGATTAGAAGAAATGTGGACTGTAGCTTAGTTATCACAGTACAACCTCATGGGTTTGTCAACTGAGAACCTTATCTCTTGCAAAAGATTTTTCAGCCACACTAGTTCAGATGTAGTATGAGCCATGGCCCTATATTCAACTTCAATACTGCTTCTTGCTATCACAGTTTGTTTCTTGCTCTTTGAAGTTACCAGATTGCCACCTAGGAATGTACAATACTCTGTAGTGGATCTCCTGTCAGACACATATCCGGCCCAATTAGCATCTGTATACCCCTCAAGTATCTTGACAATTCATAGAACTGTCTCTGAATGTGGAACTCGAGGATGTTGCATAAACTGACTCACCATACTTACAGCAAATGATATATCTGGCCAAGTAATAGTTAGATAGTTCAAATTCCCCACCAACCTCCTGTACCTTCCAGGATCATCAAACTCTTCACCTGCATCAATACTCAACTTGACATTTGGTTCCATGGGTGTTTCAGCTGGTTTGACACCCAACAACCCTGTTTCTTCAAGTAAATCAAAGATATACTTTCTTTGGCACAAGTTAATACCATGTCTTGACCTTGCAACTTATATTCCCAAAAAAATATTTCAGTTTATCCAAATCTTTTGTTTGGAAGTGATCATGTAGAAAGTTCTTCAACCTATCAATCCCATTGCTATTACTACCAGTTATGACAATATCATCCACATACATCACTAACAAAATCTTCCTAATTTCTGATTCATAACTGAATTCAGAATGGTCTACCTGTCACTGTTTCATGCCAAAGTCCCTCACTATTTCATTGAATTTGCTAAACTACGCACGTGGAGATTGTTTCAGCCCATAAATCGCCTTCTTAAGTCTTCAAACTTTACCATCCTTCCCTTGAGCAACAAATCCTGGTGGTTGCTCCATATATACCTCCTCAACAAGATCATCATGTAAGAAGGCATTTTTTATGTCAAGTTGAAAGAGGGGCCAATCATACATTGCTGCTAAAGAATTCAACACCCGAACTGAACTAATCTTAGCCACAGGAGAAAATGTCTCCGTATAGTTAACACTATAAAACTAAGAATAGTCTTTGGCCACTAACTTGGCTTTCAACCATTCCATACTGCCATCTGGAAGATGTTTTACCATGTATACTCACTTACATCCAACAACATGCTTACCAGGAAGGAGAGGGATAAGCTCCCACGTGTGATTGTGTGCACAGTGCAGAAAGGTGAGCAATGGAAACATAATGGGAAATAGGATGAGATGTACAACTACGTTTACCTTTCCACAATGCAATAGGAAGATCATGGTGGAGAGTCAGAAGATGGTCTCTCCTCTCACACATGTTTCACCATCTTCTTGGTTCTCAAGAACACTTCCACTGATTTAGCCCATGGTACATGATTCTCACCATTTAATTTAATAGAGGTCATTTGAATACTCAAGTAATCGGGGGAAATCATAACAGCAGTCTTATTATCACTACCCTTTCCAGCTGTTGCCATTATAACAAAATCACCACACTAAAAAAAAAAAGTCCAACTACAAGAGACAAAAGTCACCCTTCACTATTCAGTACTACACCACACACCACACAATAAAACACTATTGTTACGATACTGTTGCTGTCATAGGTTCAGCACCAGAAAACCCTACTGTTACCACACATATTCAGACATAAACAGAGAGAAAAAACAGTCCATACGCATGCCTATCAATCAACATTGCCACATGGATGAAATCAGTCCAAAAGAGAGAGAACACACTACACTATCAGCCGATTAGAGAGTTCTATTCACACCTGCCCACAACCAGCCCTCTTTGAGTCATTGATTAGTGGGTTTCTAGCAAACCACCACCACAGCAACCGGAGACAATAGTTACCTCCAAGAAGGAAAAAAAAATGACCACTCCTTTTTTGGCCCCTTATCAATCCTCCAATTAGTTTGGGAGTTATTTCAAAAAGAAGTTCTGATGTGGCGATCCCGGGAGAAAGGAAAGAAGAAAAAAAACCGAGTTCTAGACTGATTTTTTAGTGCTATGATACCATGTGAATGATTCGATTAACACTAGTTCAGTCCTAGGTCTGAAATAAGTAAGAAAGAAAGAAGAAGAAGAGAAAGAAGAGGGGAGAAGAAGAAAGGGATCGGTCTAAGAAGAGGAAAAGTCAATCCCTCTCAGCCGACCCACCTTATATTAATACTCTTTGTATTAGATTGCAAAAGACAAATCTGTCCCTCATTAAGTATGGGACACAACTTAAAACCAGACAAAATAGACAACTCAACCTTAATTAAATAGACAAATGACCAAACTACCCTTGCACTGTCGATTCTAACAATATATATTTATATAAATAAATAACATATATATCAGATCGGATCTTCTCGGGTCAGATTGGGGGGGATCCGATTTTTGATGGGATCCTATTATCCGATCTGAAGATCTGAGATGGGGATATCCAAATTCGACAAAATAGGATCGGACTTCGGATCGGATGGGATCATGATCTGATCCATTTACACCCCTAACAATCAGGTCCTGCATGAGATGAACAAACTTGAGTCTTGAATAATCTCTCAATCAATAAAACATGGCCAATTATTTTGTCCTGAACTCTTAGAAGCTGTTTCTTGGTGCTCAGAATGACTAACACAGTCTTATGTCAAATAGGATTTGATGAAAGGTAAAGATATGTTGATGCCAGTGTTTGATTTTCAAGAGAAAAGACGTATTGGTTCAAAAACAGTGAAGAGTTCTTCTTGTGGGGTGGTAAGTATTCATATATCCAAAGTTTTACTCTAAATCAAGGCTTTTTATATTTGCTTCTGGACTATTGTTTCCATCATAAGTGATATTGGTACATATTTTGGAGTCATATAGAAGAAAATTGGAATTTTTTTCTTCAGAGCTCTGTTTGATGTTAGGAAGTGGAAATGGAAATGCATTCCACTTCTGCTTTGATACTATGAAACATAAATGACCAGCCCCCTGTAGCAATGTGGGATTGAATTATTGAAAGCTTAAAGTCTTCTAGTGACTACTTATGCTCCACTATGGAATTAAAGGCCAAAGAGCAGAACCTAGAAACCTCCAGACGTTGGCTTACTAGTTCTGCCATTAATTATATTTCCATTCTGATAAAAAAATACTATAAGGGACATGCGAGTGAAGACTGATGGAAATATTAGTAGACATGTGCTAAAGATTTGGAAAAACAAGAACTCAATATAGTACCGTCGATACATAATACACCTGTTTTTGGCAAAATAGTGCCATAAAAACATTGGAGATGCAAAGGATGTAAATGCACAATTGCCTGAAAGGCAAGAACCATATATTGCACACATCAATGGCCAAGATTTTGTCCATCTTCTGCACATGCACACACAATGCAAATTTTTGTAAAACATTTAAAATTGGTTAAGTATGTTCTTTCACATTTCTTACCCCATTTGGAAAATTTTAGTTATTTATATTTTTTGCAGTCAGTTTTTCTTAATATCATTGAACTCTAGTCAATGCCAATTAAAATCCAATAAACACAAAGATATGCAAAATCTTGGTTGGAACTGTGGAACATTCCATTATTAACATTTTGCTTTTGTTTTTTGTTAAGTAAAAGGCTTATATTTTATTAAGCTGCGTTGGATAATAGTTTGACAAAAATGTTAAAATGAAAAAGCAAAATGGAGCATGGTTGAGGTGTGTCTTGAGGCATGTCATCTTCCCATCCCAAGGGGCATTTGTGGGCGGAAGATAAATACTCGATGGCCCTCTCATTACAAGTAAGTATGTAAACTCAAGAATTAGGCAAGGCATTCTTGGAATAATTTGCAAACTGGATCTTGAAAAAGTATATGATATGTCCATGGAGCTTCATTAATTATGTTTTAAGAAGGGTGGGATTTAGGGTGCTTATGGAGAAAATGGATGTCCAGGTATTTTTCTACTCCCATGTTCTCTATGACGATTAATGGGTTTTTTGAAAGCTGTTTTTGTGGGAAGAAAGGCTTGGGACAGGATGACTCATTGTCACCCTTTCTCATCATTTTGGTAGTGGGGCCTCTTAGTTGCTTGATCAACTATGTTTTTGAGGGAGGTTATATTGAAGGTTTTAAGGTGGGAGGTGATGAACAACCCATTGCAGTGCTGCAATTTGCTCATGATGCTATTATCTCCTCAAGAGGCTCTCACGATGATATGCTTTTCCTTCTATGCCTCATTTACATTGAGGCAACATTCGACTTGAAGATCAACCCAAAAAAAGTGAATTAATTCAGGTTGCTGATGTTCCTCATACTGGTGAGCATGGAAATACTCTTTGGGTTTAGAGTAGTCTCTCTTCCCTTAACCTTTCTAGGCTTGCAGTTGAGTGCCAATTAGATATACAACTATTTGGGACCCCATAATTCAAAGGTTCAGGTGCAAATTAGTGAGATGGAAAAGGAATTATCTCTCAAAAGGAGGCAAACTCATACCTATTCAGAGCTTCCTCTCAAATTTGCTGACTGACCCTTGGAGAAAACACAGAGAAACTTCCTTTAGGAAGGACCAAATGAAGGGGAGAGGAAATATCACTTGGTAGGATGGAAGGTGTTTGAACCCAATATGAGGGGAGGAATGTCCTTAAGGCAGTTGAAGAATATGGCTTGGAAAAGGATCACCTTTGAAGGAAAACCGTAGCAGCAAGTTTGGAATGGTGACAATGGACTGGGAATCCCAATATTCATTGCAGAGCCATTGCAGTGCTGCAATTTGCTCATGATGCTATTATCTCCTCGAGGCTCTCACGATGACATGCTTTTCCTTCTAGGGACAGTGTCACCATGGTTCAACTCGTGCATAGAGGGATGTTATTGGAAATATCTGTAGTCAGTTTTGTGAGCAGGATGAGTCAGTTAGTCACCTGTTCATTCATTGCAGAGCTACTGGTCAGCTCTGGGCCCATTTCCTATTGCATTTTGGAAGATAGTGGGTCCTTCCTCCTTAACTCTGTTGTCTAATACCCTCCTATAAAGTAAAGGGCTTTTTCATCAGAGGAAAGATTCATTGGAAAACACTGTCTTTAGCTGTTTGCTAGTCTATCTGAAAGGAATGAAACAGCTGGGTTTTTGAAGCCAGATCAGCCCCCATGGAGGCTCTTACTGGTAAAATTAAAATGGCATCTCATGAAGTGGGTGGGGGTGTTGAAACTTTTAGAGATGTAAGTTAGATCAGTTCAGAAATCAGTGGTACAACATCATATTCCAGTAATTTCAAGTGTTTTGTCAACTTTTTTTTTTGGATATGTATGACCATTTGCATGCATATTAGGTGTATAGTTTGTACATATCAATAGTCTTCTGCGTACATAATTTGAGGGATTTTCTCTCTCTTTATAGCAATACAAATTTCTTACCATTTATTAAAACAAAGCAAAATGGGCTTGAGCCATCATATTAGGCATGTCTGAGCCTTGTCATCTAGAGTGTGCACCTCTTTCACATAGAATCTGATGTTTATTGACTTGCCAAGAATCTTGCTAGGATGTTGTCAAGAGGAGCTCTTTGTATTGGGGTTTGCAGTTTTGTTTTTTCAATAAATCAGCAATAGTGACCAAGTAGTTTTATTAATGGGAAAAAAAGCTAAGAGACCTCTTTTGTTCCAGAACTGAATGAGGGGGACTAAGGACATGCTTATGGGATTGAAACACTAAAGAGCCTGGATCTCCTGCAAGCAAAAACTCTGCACACATGGCATCCATCTGGACTCGCCACACTAAAACATCATCGACAAATACGGCTTAGTTCAAAGCCCCATTACAAGATGTGTGATCCTGAAGCACCTAAAGTCCCTCCCACCACCACCACCACCACATACACAAAAAAAGGAGAAAAGGTCATCCCTCCCCACCCCTTCTGTAGCCAGGAAACTGTGTCATTGGCTGATCTAAGAATCAACCTAAACAGGCAGTTTAATTTTTTATTCCAATGCTCTAACAACTCTTATAAGATGATGGAGATTCCTAGTTCTGTCTGAATTAGAATATATCCACCCAATCACAACCTGACAATCACCTTATATAACCAGATTGTTCAGGAATTAGTTTACCAAAAAAAGTTAAGGAATTAAGGAAAAGAGAAACCCATTTTACAAAGGCTATGATTTCTGCTATTGTGGAAATTTCCAACTTAAATGGACCTGGTGGGCTATTGTGGAAATTTAACCACCTTCCCTTCTCTCCTCTAAAGGTGTCCCCCACTCCTGGTGGGCTAGGATTGCCAAGGAACACCCATCAAAGTTCAATATTGCTCTACCTGAGGGGCTTCTATGAGGGATGCAGTTACTGTCTACCATCCTCTAATTGTAGACTCCATGTGAAACCCATTAAATTCCTCCTTTGTCAATACCACCATTCTTACAGTGATCAAGTCTTTGATTATATTTACTTCTTGTTGAAAATTCTTGAGTTCCTTTAATAACAAATGTATTGGCACACCAACTTTCCTCCTTTAGATGGAGGTCCAAGGAATTTAGGGCTAGAAAGCTCCAATATATCAGCTCGGATGGTGGAACCACTGACCACTGTTCACCAAATAAAGGGTGGGGGGGATTGTTACATATAGTCATTATGAAGGAACAAGATATGAATACCTGAATGGGTGGTTGGAGAAAGAAGACAGGATCACATACCGTTGTAGTTTTCTCTGTTGATTTTGTGTTGGCAAGCCTGTTGAGACTGGGATTTTACTCTAGTCATTTATTAACATGCCAAAAAAAAGGCTAGTATATTGGTAAGAAAAGGCCAGTCCATACATTTAAAGTTAGAAGCATTATATTGTAGCGTGCTCTGTTTTTTGATAGAAGGCTATTACATTAACTATTCCATTATAGCACTTTAGGCATCATATTGTGGCACTTTTGTTTCTAAATTTGTGAACTTCCCACAGGTAATCATTGATGGAACTTATGCTCTACACTCAAAACTACGCTCTTTACTAGATATTCGAGTTGCAGTGGTAAATTTTTGGTTCCTCGATGTCATTTTCGTTTGATTGTATGTTTGTTTTGTCTAGCATAAAATTTTCCTTTTGAAATGCCTGGTGATCAGGTTGGTGGTGTTCACTTTAGCCTTCTTTCTAAAGTACGATATGACATTGGGGATTCTTGTTCCTTGGATTACCTTATTGACAGCATCTTCCCATTATTCAGAAAGCACATAGAGCCAGATCTACATCATGCCCAGGTTGGTGTTTTGATGACCTGCTATTTTGGGGATTCTTTGCTCCAATTGATGATCTGCTATTTTTGGGGTTCATTTTTCAGATTAGAATCAACAACAGCTTTGTTTCATCCTTTAGGGAACCTATTTACAAACTGAAATGCAAAAGTGAGGTATGTGCATGATTTTACCACCAAGCACAGGCTCCTTTTAATTTCCATATAAACTACCTTTTGATGTTCCAGTTGTAAATCGCACCTGCAATAATCTGAATTAAAAGAAAAGAAATAGGAGAAAAGGAGGTTGAAGAGAGAGAAGTGATGGAAGAAAAGGAAGAAGACGAGAGAGTTGTTCTCAAACCTCTCTTCAGTCCCCAATGATCTTTTTTATTCTTTTGTTGTAAAAAATAAGGACAATTAGAGTGCCCTTAATAGGGCGTCCATCACTAAAGGGAATAAAAAACAAGAAAACAGGTCCATAACTAAGGCCCACTACCCATTAACACAAGTCATAACAATAACTTAAAGAAAAACAAAGAAACTAAGGCCCATTTGGCCCATTTTCTCTACAGTTCCATATTCTGTTTGATATAATTTTCTCATCATTAACAAGATCAAAGAGGCTTTATTGAATAAACTAATCCGAGGAATATAAGAGTTCAATCATCTAGAACACCCAAAAGTGCTAGATTCAAAGTCTTCCACAGGGGAAAGACCACAACAGCTTTTACAAATAAGCAAAATACTGGGGATGGTTCACTCATGGTTGGCAATTCACTCTTTGTTTAAAAACAGACATTCTAGCTCTTTTTTTTTTATTTTGATTTTATTTTTGTAAGGAGTGGATAGTATTTTTTTGGGGATCTTGGCTGTAATGGGCTGAATTGTATATCCTCTGTTCATCTCTCATTGTACAGGGTCTTCATTGTTGTTGGTTTTTTAATGAAATACTTTACCTTACAGTTTCAAAAAAAAAAAAAAATCTAACAATAACTATCTGGGAAGAGAAGTTCAAATACAAACTTGCCATTCCCATGTCATGCCTGGCAAGGCTTTCAGCTATTTAGTTTGCAAACCTTCAGATTTACCAGATCAATACAATACTGTTACAAAAGAACCCCTCCAGATCCACCTGAACGAGATATGCACAACTTTAAATTAGATACCCGAGATATGACCTTTCTCGCAGGTGTCTAAATCTTCCAGGGCCTTCACTTCCACTTCTGGAGCAGCCGTTAACCACCTTGAAACATCCTACCTCCAAAATCGGAAATACTAAAACTGCCAAGAGCTGTAAACATTTCTCTCATGCCTCCGCCTTGGTAGTCTCAATCACCATTTGGGCCTGAAAAGGCCATTAATATCTCCTGAGGGATCCCTAAAAACTGCCACTATCCCTGAGGGCACTAGGAGAATCCATTGAAATTTAGTTTTATGCTTCGTAATGCTGGTGGCGTCTATGACCAGCTTAATACCTGTCTATTTGTGGTTGAATTTGCTTTCTGTATCATGTCATCTGTGTTAAATTATATAAACTCATCTCTTGATTGCAATTAATGAACACTAATAGATAGAATATTTATTTGCTCTTCTGCCATTCTATTTGGATAAATTGGAACCTGAAGCGGAGGAAGAGTTGGATTTTGAAAAGGTACATACCAATAGATGAAGTAGTACAAGATTTGCAGAATTCATCACCAAGAAATGATTTGAAGAAAAGAGTATAGAACATTTCCATCCAATGAAAAGGAAGATGTGGGGGTGAATAGTGATGGAGATGGGCTAGTAGGCATGGAGAATTCAGAGGAAGAAGAGGTAGTAGAAGTTGATAAAGTACATAAAGTAGGTAAGAAGGTAAAGGAACTTAGGGATGAGCTGAGAGAGACAAGGCATTTAGCAAGAAAGATKAGTGTTAGCTTTCATAGGATCCAACCATCTGCAAATGATTTGGCAGTTGCGTTAGCTAAACAAGGGGTCACTAAGGATCACTTGTTTTGGGCTTTATTGTGAATAACTTGATGCATGTGATTATGGGATAGGCGGTTTATCTGGCTTTTCTGGGTTTGGTCTTGATACTTGTACATTATACATTCTTTCTTTAAGGCCTTGTTCGTTTAGAACTTTGCAACTTACCCGGGTAAGTGCACTTAGGAAACATTTACCTAGGTAAATTCACTTACCCATGTTCTTTTAATTCTCAGGTTTTCCAGGTAAGTAATAAAATTACATTTTTACCCACAGAAAGTTAATATTAGAATGGACAAAGTTGTCCTAACATGTTTTGTAAAATTTCCCCCCAGGTGGGGAAGTTACTTACCCACCTGGGAGATGGGTAAGTTTTACCTAGGAAAGTGGAGCTGATTTTACCGTGGGGCCCATTCATAATACAAAAAGAACATGGTAAAGTTGGTCAATGAAAAGAGATACCCATTGACCAACTCCCCCCCCCCCCATTTACCGGTAAATGAACAGGGCCTAAAATTAATAAGATCTAAATTTACCGATGGAAAAAGTAGATAAGAAGGTAGATTTAAATGAGTAATACAAAAGAAGATGAGATAAGCATGAAACTCAGATTGTTCATTTTTGAAGGAGAGAAAATTTTGCCATAGTAGAAAATAAAAAAAATGCCAAAAAAGTTATTCTGGAGTTAGAGGAGAAAAGAAATAAGAGTGTTTAGGAAAAGGAAGAAGGAAATGGGATTTGGTTGTTCCGAAAACAAGGAAGAATCTTTTGATTGAAGGGTTATGAAATATAAATAGAAGGTGTTGGAATCTGAGCGGGGTGTATATTGCTGAAGAGAAAAGATAGGATATTAGGAAAAGAGTTGGATAATCTGTGTGTGTTTTTCTGGGAGCCATTTGACTTGCATTTGAGGTTTGGTTTATCTGTTTGTTCCAAGAAGGGTGAGGTGATTTTGTTTGCCTTTTGGCTGGTGATTTTTTATCACTTTTTTTGTATTCTGATTTTTTATTTCAATAAATCTTTTTATTTACTATAAAAAGTCTTTTGAACTTTGGAGGGGGGGGTTTGCTGGAAGGTTTTGGGGTGAGAAGCGTGCTGGTTAATAACGGTGTCTTTGTTTTGTGTAATGAAGTGGAGGAGTCTATAGACCACCTGTTCATGCATTGTGGCCTCACTTGGAGTTTATGGGGCAGGTTGCTGGATACCTTTGGAGTTCAGATCTGTTTCCCTGCTACAATGGAGGATTTGCCTTGGAGTTGGCAGCTGGCTGAGTAGGAGAAGCAGACTGATTTGGGATTTAATTCCTTTAGCCCTGGTGTGGACTGTGTGGGCTGAAAGAAATAGCAGAATTTTGAAAATAATTTTAACTCTGTAAATGAAATTGTAAAGGCCCTGTGGGGCAGAATATACTCTTGGGTGGCTGTCTATGGGTGTTTTGGGGGGTATCCCTTATGGTTCTCTTTTTTGTTGTATCTAACAGGCCCGGCAGATGGTGTATAGGCTTTGATCTTTTTGGGTGCAGCTTCTTGCTGTTATATGGTTGTTTTTTTGTGTTGATTAATACATTACCTTTTATTGTGCTGGAAGAAGAGAGAAAGGGAGAGAAGAGAAGAGAGACGAGAGGACTGAGAGCCCAAAAAGATACTGCAGGCGGCGCCGTATGTTATATTTATACTAGGGCGACAACAACTAAACATAAAGAAAAGGAAAAGTACAATAGTACCCCTGCGGTACTATACATATATAAAATAACATCTGTTAACACTCCCCCTCAAGTTGGAGCATAGATATCAATCATGCCCAACTTGTCACATAGCTCATGATGTCTTGAGTGGTGTAGTCCTTTTGTAAAGATGTCTGCAAGTTGGTCTTCAGAGCTGACATAGGGAGTACACACTTCGCTTGTGATGACTTTCTCTCTGATAAAATGCTTGTCGACTTCGATGTGTTTTGTTCTATCATGTAGCACTGGGTTAGCAGCAATGTTTATAGCTGCTTTGTTATCACAGAATAGGGTCATAGGCCTGTCCGCTGGAAAACCCAACTCACTCAACAGATTCTTTATCCACATACTTTCAGCCACTCCATGAGCCATTGCTCGATATTCAGCTTCAGCACTGGATCTA